TAGCACAGATGTGAATTTTCACAGCTTTGGATTAGATAATGTCTACTTAAATATGCAGCAAAAATCACAAAGAACAAAAGAAAAAATGAATAAGTGGATTTCATCAAAATTAAAAACTTTATTTTTTTGTGGTGCTGGGGATTGAGCCCAGGGCCTTGTGCATGCAAGGCAAGCATGCTACCAACTAAGCTATATCCCCAGCCCCCAAATTAAAACTTTTGTGCATTAATGAACACTATCAAGAAAGTAAAATACAACCCATAGAATGGGAGAAAATGCTTGGAAATAATGTTTCTAATAAATATCTAATATCCATAATATGTAAAGGGCTCTTAGGTTATAACAACAAAACCACAAATAATTCAAATTTAACATTTGCAAAAGATTTGAGCCAATATTTCTCTAAAGAAGATATGCAAGTGGTCAACAGCAAGTGGAAAATGTTTAACATCATTAGTCATTAGGGAAGTGCAAATCAAAACAATGAGAAGACATTTTATATCCACCTGGATGGCTAGAATTTTGCTTTAAAACACAGACACATAAAAAATGACAAGTGTTGGGGCATGGATTGTGGCTTAGTGCTGGATCACTCACCTAGCATGTGTGAGGCCCTGTGTTCAATCCTCAGTACCACATAAAAATATTGTGTCCATCTACAACTAAAAAATAAAAATATTTTTTAAAATTACAAGTGTTGGTGAGAATATGGCTAGCATGAAATCTTTACACACTGCTGGTAGATATGTAAAAATAATGCAGTTTTTCTGGAAGTAGGTTTGACAGTTTCTCTAAAAGTCACACAGAGTCATCCTATACCCCAGCAATTCTACTCCTAAGTATTTACTCAAGAGAATCAAAAGCATGTTTACCCAAAAAAGTGATATGTAAACATTTATAGAAATAGCATTCATAATACCCCCCAAAATAGAAACAACAGAAATGTTCAGATAAACAAAATGTGGTGTATGGTAATAATGAGAAATACAGAGAAATAAAGTGCTGAAACATGCTACAACATGAATGAACCCTGAAAACATTATGCTGCCAGGCACAGTGGCACACACCTATAATCCCAGCAGCTTGGGAGACTGAGGCAGGAGGATCACAAATTTAAGGCCAGCCTCAGCAACTTAGGGAGGCCCTAATCAACTCAGTGAGACCCTGACTCAAAGTAAAAAACAAAAGGGCTGGGGATGTGGTTTAATGGCAAAGTGCCCCTGGGTTCAATTCCCAGTACCAAAAGAAAGAAGAAGAAAAGAAAGAAAACATTGTGCTAAGTGAAAGAAGTCAAGATGCAAAAGACCACATTTTGCTTGACTTCATTTATATGAAAAGCCCAGGGTAGAAAAATCCACAGAAGCCATAGCTGAGTGGTTACTTACGTTTAGAGGTTGGGGGATAAGCATTTTTTCAACTGAAAAAATATTCTAAAATTGTGTTGATGGATATACAACTCTGTGTATATACTGAAACCCATTTAATTGTATACTTTAAATGCATAAATTACATGGTTTGTGGATTGTATCTGTTTTTAAAGGAGTAGGATAAGGAAGAATAATGATGGCATTTGTGTTTTGTTCCTTGGTCCCCATGTCCGAGCTCTGGCTATAGCAGATAAAGGATTCTCATGAAACACTTTTGTAACAGGAAGAAAAGTTTTTTTCTAGTTGTTACCAGATGATCTGTTGATCATCTGACATACTTGGGGATAACTTAAGACACAGTAACTATATATAATGAGACTTTTGTGGGTGAGAAGGAACTACAGAGAAAGAGAACTCTGCAAAAAGATGGTGGAGGGAAGCATTCTCCAACAGAAATAAGGAAAGAGTCAAGAAACCTGATACTTAGATTTAAAGGATCTACTGAATCACCCTGTTTTGTAAACCTCCCTGGTTGGTAGTTCCCAATCAGCAGTAAATCTCTATCACCTTCCCTCAGTGATATTGAGGGTTATGGTCCTGCATTTGAGTTGCTGCTGCCCTGGAAATTGTGATCCCATGCAATGCACCAAGTGAAGAACAAGAATTGAGCAGAAATCAGAACCATCTACTGTCTTTCCTATTCCTATACCCCTCCCTTCCCTTTGTTCACCTTTGTCTGATTTACTGAATTTCTCTTCTTCCCCTCCCCATTCCTTTATTGTGACTTACCGAGGCTCTGCACTGGATCTATTAGAACCTGGCCCTTTAGATGAAATTCAGATTGCCACCATATTAAGAGAAATTCTGAAAGGACTTGATTATCTTCATTCAGAGAAGAAAATCCACAGAGACATCTGAGCATGGAGAGGTGAAGCTGGCCGACTTCGGAGTGGCGGGCCAGCTGACAGATACCCAGATAAAGCGGAACACCTTCATGGGCACCCCCTTCTGGATGGCGCCCGAGGTCATTAAACAGTCAGCTTACGACTCCAAGGCGGACATCTGTTCACTAGGTATAACAGCTATAGAACTGACGAAAGGGGAGCCCCCTCATTCCGAGCTGCATCCCATGAAGGTTTTATTCCTGATTCCAAAGAACAAACCCCCCTGCCCCCGACACTGGAAGGGAACTACAGCAAACCCCTCAAGGAGTTCGTGGAGGCCTGTCTGAACAAGGAGCTGAGCTTTAGACCTACTGCTAAGGAGCTGCTGAAGCACAAATTCATAATGCGCAATGCAAAGAAGACGTCCTACCTGACGGAGCTCATCGACAGGTACAAGCGGTGGAAGGCCGAGCAGAGCCAGGACGACTCCAGCTCTGAGGACTCGGACGTGGAAACAGATGGCCAGGCATCTGGAGGTAGTGACTCCGGGGACTGGATCTTCACAATCCGAGAGAAGGATCCCAAGAATCTTGAGAACGGAGCTCTTCAGCCATTGGATTTGGAAAGAAACAAGATGAAAGAAATCCCAAAGAGGCCTTTCTCTCAGTGTTTATCGACAATTATTTCTCCTCTGCTTGCGGAGCTGAAGGAGAAGAGCCAAGCATGTGGAGGGAACCTGGGGTCCATAGAGGAGCTGCGAGGGGCCATCTACCTGGCAGAAGAGGCCTGCCCCGGGATCTCCCACACCACGGTGGCCCAGCTGGTGCAGCGGCTGCAGAGATATTCTCTAAGTGGTGGAGGAACTTCGTCCCACTGAAACCCTTTGGCCTCTGGGGTTTTGTTTTCCCTCCTTTCCTTTGCATCCTCCTTTTGAAAGTCGAGGAGAACCTTTGCGGCTCTGCTGGAGGCGCCACAGAGGGCCACCCCCACGGCGCCGTCCAGGGACACACTCAGCCCTCGCTGTGCCACAGCCTGATGAAGTCTCTCGCATGGGGTGGGGAGGGCCAGCTCCTTCAAGCAATTATTTTTATTTTTTTATTGTTTTTAATTTTAACCATAGTGCACATATTCAAGGAAAATTTGTTTGTCTTTGAAAACAAAACCCCTGAAGTGTATATTTGGGATTGTGATAAGGCAACTAAAGACATGAAACCTCAGGTATCCTGCTTTAAGTCGATAACTCCCCCGGGAGATGGAGAATCGCTGGTGGATCTGTGTACAGACTGTATATAGCGACATTTTTACAGAAATCCCTTTGGCGTGCATAAGGAATCACTGTGTACAAATTGGCCAAATGCTTCTGTAGATAATGTCCGTGGAGTAAATATTTGACAGGCCATAACTTGAGTCTATTGCCTTGCCTTTATTACATATAAATTTTGAATCATGTGACCAGTGATTTGGGTTTTATTTTGTATCTGCAGGGTTTGCCATTAATAATAATTAACGCCCCTGGATGGAACACTCCCATTTGTACCTCAACAGATGCAAATGTCCCTCTTGTTTGTCCTTCACCCCTTTTGGTACACTTAGAAGTTGATTTCCTTTTTCATTGATGGTACTATTTCTTAGTGTTTTAAATCAGGACATATCTTGCCTCATGAAGCTTTAAATTATTATTCTGAGTTTCCCAGAGGAAGCGCTCTCATCTAACCTTTGTTTGGAGTCGTGCACCAGGCGTACTGTCCTGCCCACATGATTTTCTGTTGCACCTCCTAGTGGAATCTGCATATCATCATCTTTCCCACCTGGAAGTATCTGGATGCTTACACCAATAAATTTTATAACACACTTAAAAAAATAAAATAAATTTAAAAAAATAAAATAAAAATGAAGAAAATAGAGGCTTGTTATGGCTCAGTGGTAGAGCGCTTACCTAGCATGTGTGAGGCACTGGGTTCGATCCTTAGCACCAGATAAAAACAAATTAAAAAATAAAGGTATTGTGTCCATCTACAACTAATATATATAATAGTATATACATATATATATTCACTAAAGAAAATTAAAAATAATTTTAAAAAACAAAAAAACTATACAGAATACACACACACACACACACACACACGAAATCAGAGCCATCAATGGTCAGTGGTAAACGAGGCATAAACACCTGAATTCTCAGTAATCTTCCCAAGTATGTGTCTGTGTGTTGAATAATCTTGATATTAAGGGAGTTTGGGTTATGTATATACTTGGAAGGCCAAAGTTTCTAACTATGACATATGCTGCAAGGCTGGGTGGCATTCACAGATGATAGGTCTTTGAAGCTAGGGAGGAGCACAGAATATGGAACAGAAAAAAAATAAGTGGAGTAACTGACACAGGAAAGAGCAGCAACAGGAATGCCAATAATAGTCATCAATATTTATTGAGGATGGCAAGAGAAGTCTGTCCTTTAAGGAGGCTTTTTCTGGCTGATGTTTGAACCAAACCCAGGAAAATTGTGATGCTGACACCAGGTAATTGTGGGAAGAAGACAGAGTCAGGAATTCTTTAAAGTAATGTTTTCAATAGACTGGGCCAGTGTGGTCCTTTGATATCCTTCGAGAGCCTCTAACTTGTCATGGATGTGAATCCCCACTAACTGAATGCTTCAAAGAAGATCCAATCATAGGGTTTCCTTCAGGCAAGCCAGGTGCCTTTATAACTCTGTAAAGTAGACATCGAGCAGAAGCTGAGACATTTCCTAAGTAGGAAAATTGAAGGGCAGGCAGTAGAAGGGACTTGTACTCGCATCCTGGTCCATGGTCGGAATTGTCCAATCGATGGGGATGGACACTGGGGAATAGACTTGGGGGCAGTGGTCATAACTCATCTGCCTGAAAACTGGTTATCTACTTGGAACATATGGAAGTTGTACTTCCCGGAAGGGTGAAGGATTTGCCCCAGGTAGACAGAGACATCAGGGACAGGAAGTGAGAGGGTCTTTAGGGTCCTTCTCACCTGCTTCTAGAAACTGCTCTTTTGTTTCCACCACTGGGAAGTTGTCAGTTGGTTCCTTGTATCTTGTAGTGCTCTCTGAAGTTGGGGAGGAAGATTTGTGTTTCAGAATCATCCACCATCTCCCCAAACCCAGAAGCACCAGCTCCAAAAGAGTAACCAAGAGACAGAGGCCAGTGAACCCAAACATGGTCTTTAGGAAGATGGTCTTCTCAGAGGGGCGGGACAGATTACAGGTTACACTGCCAATGCAAGGCTCTTGGCGACATGATATGGAGCTGGGAATGTTGAACCCATACAGAAGGTACTGCCCCCCCAGGGACGCCGCTTCAAGAACCAGCCGAGCACCCAGCTGTGCCACATAGACCCAGAGCAGCTTGAGGCTTCTAGCCGCTGAGACCCTTCTGCTGCCGTCCCCTTTGTGGGTCAGGATCTCTTCCTTCTTCATCACCTTTTCTGATTCTTCCCAGTGTTCAATCACATGATAAAGGGTGAAGCCCAGATAGAGGACACTGGGCACAGCCAACAAGATGACTTGGAAGGCCCAGAAGCGCAGCGGAGAGAGTGGGTGGAAGGCATCGTAGCAGGCCACCTTGCAGCCTGGTTGCTGAGTGTGACACACAAATTCTCTCTGATCATCACCATAGATCCCAGGCCCACTGGCAGCCAGCAGCACAAGACGGACTCCCAGGAGAACAGGAAGCAGGAGGCGTCCCACAGGGGTGGAGTGCTGGCTCTCCTCAGCCAACAGCTGCCTCAGGAACCTGCCACACATCCTGTAATTGAACAGAGAAGGATGATCAGTGCAGGTGTTGCTCATTGCCCTTTAGAGGGAGCTTGTCACTCTTGACCTTGTCACTGCTAACTGGAGGATCTGAAAAAGCCTTTCTGATCCTCTCCAAAGTCTGATCAATCAAATATAGCATTAGTCAGCTTTGCATACCTACAACACAGCACCTGAGGTAATTAACTCTATAAAGAGAAAGGGCTCATTTAGCTTACAGTTTTGGAGCTTCAAAGTGCAAACAGAATAGCACAGGTTTGTTGAAAGTCATCCATTGAATACCTCACTTCATGTCTTGGGTGGAAATGGCAGAGACTACATGTTGGAGCAAATGCTCACATATGCAATCCAAGGAGAGGGTGGGAATGGATGGGGTCCCACAACCCCTTTCATGAGCATCTCTTTAATTACCTAAAAAATTCCCATAGACCCCACCTCTCAAAGCACCGCCCAATACAGTCACCCGGAGAGCCAAGTCTTTATATATGGACTTTTAGGGGAATATTCATGCAAACTATAGCAAATATAAAGATTCTGCCCCTATTTAACTAATGGAATCATCCATGTAAGATAATGATACAGTAAAGAATGTGTGTAGGAGACCTGGGGTTGTGGCTCAGTGATAGAGCATTTGCCCAGCATGTGCGAGGCCCTGAGTTCATCCTCAGCACCACATAAAAATAAATAAAATAAAGGTATAGCATCCAACTACAACTAAAAAATAAATATTAAAAAAGGAAAGTGTTTAGGTGTGTATGTGTGTGTGTGTGCCTGTCTGTCTCTCCCTCTCCCTCTCCTTTTCCCTCTTCCTCTCCCTCTCCCTCTCCATCTCCTTCTCTTGACAGTCAATAGTCAACGAGGCATAAACACCTGAATTCTCCATATCTTCCCAAGTATGTGTCTGTGTGTTGAATAATCTTGATATTAAGGGAGTTTGGGTTATGTATATACAAGAATCGATCAGAAATCAGAGCCGTCTACTGTCTTTCCTATTCCTATACCCCTCCCTTCCCTTTGTTCACCTTTGTCTGATTTACTGAACTTCTCCCTCTCCCTCTCCCTCTCCCTCTCCCTCTCCCTCTCTCCCTCTCCTGCTTCCCATTTCTGTATTCCTGGAATGGAGAACTGGCAGTTTGAGAATATCTATGTCCTTCTTTTCCTCTTTCCCTCTCTCCCTTTCCCAAAGACTAATAGTAAGAAACCAAGGTGCACTTTTATTTCTCACCTTTGGGAAATTTTCTACCAGGTCTGGTGCCACTAACAACATCATCTTAACCATATCAGTGCTGACACTGGGAGGGTACGTGCATTCTCTTGCTGTCTGCTTTTCTCTGGTGCTGTGCCCCTGGGTGCTCACAGGTATACTGGAATGATCTCTACTCCCATCATAGTAGCAAGACTAGAGGGGACTGTTTAAGGAGATAGATAGAGATGGGATTAAATAAACAGATTGAATTTCAAGGCTTAGTTTAGTCTGATGCTCTTTGAACCTTCCAAAATAGAAACAAGAGAATGATTTGAAGGTAACCCTGGAGAATCTGCCATAATTAAAGGCCACTGGGATTTGGGGCCAACACGAGAAATGAGAACACAGAAATTCAATTTTTTTACTCTCCTTTGCCATTGGTCTTTGGGTATGTATCTCCCTCATGTTGATGGACAAGTTTCAGAAATGCATTAAGTTCCATGACCAAAATACCATCATACTTCAAACCCAAGTTTGCCATATTGATCTCTGCCCTAACCAGTAGGTTTTCTCAATGCCCAGAAGCTGTTTACAACAATTTCCATTTAACCCAAATCCTTACAAACCTGGTTCTTCTCGCTGCCAGAAGACAATGTGATATGATCTGAATAGTGGTATCCTCCCAAAATTCGTATGTTGGATCCCAGTACCAAATGTGGCAGCAATCAGAAATGGAACCTTTAGGTCATAAAGGCTTTGCTCTTGTGGGATTAGTGACTTTATAAAAGAAGCTTGAGAGAGCTTTTCTTTCCACCCTTCAATCATGGAGAACACAAAGAAGGCACCCTCTGTGAAGATCAGGCCCTCACCAGATGCAATATCTGCTAAGACCCTGACCTTCGACTTCCCAACCTCTAGAACTTGGAGAAGTACATTTCTGATGTTTATACATTACATTAAGCCATTTTGATATAGCAGCCTGAACAGACTAAGACATCATACAAACCTTTTATTCCACAGAGGAAATAGAAACTCTCAAGTGAAATTCCACAGTTACTACAGCTTACTACTAAGATAAAAGACATCTTAAACAGAGATGGCCCTACACTTGCCCAGTGTTATTCTCCCAAATCTATTTACTAGGTCTCTACTTTCCTGATTCTTTAAAGATTTGATCCCCAAATTATCTTCCCTGTAATTCAGACCTCCTACATCCTGTTCCCTCTCTGGCTTTGAATATGCTTAGCTATCTCCCTTTAACTCTAATATCAATTACCTGGATTTCTAAGTTAACATGGCAGCAAATGAGACATATCTAATTTGTTTCATATCAGTTTCCAGATTATAATACCCAGTAATAATCACAAAACAACTTTAAATGAGCATGAGTATTATAAACCATATATAAGGACAAAGCATATGCCAAAGCTTAGGCAGAAGGGATGGACTGAGATGCTCCCAAGGGATCATTCCAAGGGTCTTAGATTGACCAGATAAATATGTCTACCAGATGGGACAGAAATGTGCCACAGGGAGTCAGAGTTTGAATCTCTGCCTTCCTTCAGGCCCTATACTTCTACCTCCATCATTGACTATTAAACTTATGATGGCTATATTAGAAGTATATTGGGTTACTGAGATTTTTCTATTAAAATGGGTAAGATTTTTAGAAGGCTTCATTTTTAATCTCTAAAAAGATATAAAGTTGGTCTCATAATTAAAGATGTAATATTAAAAATATTTCTTTCCAAAACTCCTCAAAAAAATGAGAATAGAATCAGGTGCAGTGGCACACACCTGAAATCCCAGCATCTCGGGAGGCAGAGGCAGGAGGATTGTAAGTTTGAGGCCAGCCTCAGCAACTTAGGCCCTAAGCAACTTAGCAATACCCTGTCTCAAAATAAAAAATAAAAAGGGCTGGAAATGTAGCTCATAAAAAGGGCTGGGAATGTAGCTCAGTGGTAAAATGTTCCTGGATGCAATCCCTGGTTGAGAGAGAGAGAGAGAGAGAGAGAGAGAGACAGAATAAATGGATTTTTTAAATGCATATACTCATGAGAAATAAATAACTGAGAAAAATTAATCAAAAAATACTGCAAGTAGAATAGGACAAGAATCATAGCGCAATTAAAACTTGAAGGTAATATATGATATTTGCAGGAAAATCAAATTGGGACACTGGAAAACAGACTTGGGAAACTCTTTTAGAATTGAGTAGAAGAAAATGAATAATGAATGTAACAAAAAGTAAGTAAATATAGGAACAAAATCTTTTTTTAATTCTGAAAATCAAGCTAATAATAAAATCACTACAAGTCTAACCTAAAACTCTAAAATGCTCCAAAATCCAAAACATTTTGAGCACCATCATAATGTCACAAGAAGAAAATTTCATACCTGACTTTATCTGACACGTGCATCACAGACAAAAGGCAAGTGCTCTAAAAATATTATATAAAATTATCTTCAGGGCTGTGTGAATATGTATAAAACAAATGAATGTTTGTGTTTAGACTTGATTCTCAGGCTCATGATACCTCACTATATCTATGCAAATATTCTAAAATGTTTTTTTTTAATCCAGAATTCAAAACAATTCTGATCCCATGCATTTCAGATAAGGGATACTCAACTTGCAGCTGACTTACTGCACGAGAAGCACTTAGTAAAGTGCCTGAAAAAAAGTCATTCCTCCATAAATGTTTGACTGTTTTGTTTGAGTTGAACTTGAGCTCCACAGAAGACCAAAAGGAACATCTAGTTCCAAAGCTGGTGCTAGGTCACTCAACCTTGGCACTAGTTGGAACCCAATAATTCTATTTGCCTCTCTGCACAGTGGAAGATGTTTAGCAGCGTGCCTGGTGTCCACCCACTAAACACCAGCAGCATACTCTTTCCAACCAAAAAGGTCCCCAGACACCATTAAATGTCCTGGGGGGCAATTTCACACTCCTGGTTAAGAAGCGCTGTTACAGGGTAGCACTGGCCTATCATTTCTCCATTCTTGGCCTCTGTGAACAACTCTGTAAAGTAGTATGTCTAGACATTTCAAAGACCTTCTCAAAGAGCTTTTCTGGCCTTCCATGTGGGGGACCAGGATACTCAGTCCACCTTCCAGGTTGGATACAAATCTCCCCCCAATCAGTCCCTTTTCTGAGGATGCCCCCATCCCACCTCATAAGCTACAGGGTCCCTGGAGTTGAGGAGACAGCTCCAGGGATCTGAGATTATCTGCCCTGGCTCTCTTGGAGAGTTATCAGACTGAATAGTAACTCAGAAAATTCTCAAATTTTGGTCTCAGCCTCATCTTATTTCAAAATGTAGGCCCAATATATCAGGGATACCAGACCTGATTATAAGATGAATATTATTTCGGTGTCAACATACCTTATGTACAAACAGAGATATGATAAATTGTGGTGTATATGTGTATTAAGAATTGTAATGCAGCTGGAGTTGTGGCTTAGTGGTAGAGCACTTGCCTAACATATGTGAGGCACTGGGTTCGATTCTCAGCACGTATGTAAATGAATAAATCAATAAACATCTAAGGAATGAATCTTTTAAAAAAATAATTGTAATGCAAAAAGAAAAAAAGAGTACATGTATAATGGCATAATTTGGCGTGAACATACTTTATATACAGAGTTACAAAAAATTGTGCTGTAATTGGGTAATAATGAGTGTAATGCATTCCATTATTGTCATGTATGTAAAAAATAAATAAATAAATGTTTAAAAGAAAGATGAATATTATGATGAAGAAGCAATGCTTGGGTAAAAAGTTAATTCCCCCCCCTCCCCT